GTATAATCAATCCAAAGGGCGATCGATATGATGAACAGTCTCGCAAAATGATAAATCAGAACGTACTCACCAGAAGTCCAGAGGGTACTTGCACACAATAACCAACGCACTACACTATTACGAGAGATAACCACTGGTTTTATTGCTGATCATCAACCAGAAACACTGGGAAAATAACAATTTATTCGCAGCGAAAAAATTTGTGATTGTCAGTTTGACAGCTAACGTCACAATATAAATAATTCAGTGCAAAACAGATATCTGGACGCGCAGTTAACATAATGAACATAAGACTACCAATGGGTTCCCTGTACGGTTTGTGAGTTTCAGACTAATTTCAGCAATTTTCTCTAATTTCAAATTCTTTTGTATTGGAGTACTTACTGATATACAGTTTTCTATTTCATATTTCCTCAAACGACTTTCAATATTTTCTGGTTGAAGCGGGGATGATTATGCAACTGTGTTAGGAATCACACGTTAAAAGGTAAGATCTCGTTAGTCCTTAGCTCGCACAAGTTTCTCAACTTCTGAGAGTTGTCGTTAGTATGAGGGCGACAGCTGATTAACGGAAAAACAGATTTCAAATGGACAGACAGACAGAATTGAGAAGGTACTATTTAGGTATAATTACAGTATAATAATAAATGGACATAAAAATTAGTACTGAGAATTCATTTGATTTATCTCATTAACGAAGGTATTGGTTCATTCAGATGTACATAAAATGCTGTGACAAATGTATTTTAGTCAACTGATGATGCTAACTTGGTCTGCGAAACGTGCATCGATAGATTGTGCTCCAGTTCTAGTATTTGGGAAATGTGTTTTTATTAGATTTACTAAGTGACTAAAACCCTCTGATATCTAGGAATTGTACCTCATATAATTCCGGAATAATTCTCAGTATTTTGGAACTCGAGTAAATGAGTGTCGTGTACAATTGATCCTATAGTATTGAGAAAGTGAAAAGTCTTGCTGTTTGGAAGACGCCTGACTTGCACTCATTCTAACAATCTTTTTGCTATATTATTTTGTACTTTGATTAATATTAGTCATTTTCTTTTGGACTTAATTTAGATTGTCTATAAATTTCTTGCCTTACGAGTTTCAGTGCATCATATTCACATTTGCTTGCAGCTAAATCTGTGTTTCCCGGCCCTATTTTCTTCAGGTGTCCTCTAAATGGATAGTATCCAGTGCTGGAGGAAAGTACTTGGATAAAAATCCAGCAAAAAGGTTGACTGGCCTAAAGCAAAAAAGCTGACGAGCTTCAACGTTTTTGTAAAAGATCTGAGATTGATAAACAGACTAACAGAAACATCATCTCACTGACCATTCCCTGAGAAATCTGATTAACTTAACCAGTATTCTCAGCATTCTAGGACTTGATTCAAAAACCCTTATAGTATTGAGAGACTGTTGAGTCTTAGGGCCTCTTACCACCTACTTGCAATATTCACTTATGAAGAGGGATGGAATATATTTCTATTGAGTTTTCTTGAAGTAGAAAATATAGCATTTATATAACCTCTAAGCTCAGCTAGGTGAGGTAACTAAAGAGTGCTAAAATTAAAGACATATTTAGCTTTGGAACTATTCGTACTGCCACTACGTGTTTGAAAAAAACTCAAAAATATTTCTAAAAAGGTATTTAATAACTTTGTTTCACTTTTTACAACAATTAATAAATGCAATTTAGATAACTGTACATATTGGGCCCTACATATTAAAACAACATATCACACTAAATAATATAAAATATATTATTTGCCTCTTTGAAATAAAGAAATAAATTTCTTATGAAGTTAGTTTCTTTTACAAATCATAAAGCTGACCGAAACATATACAAGAAAGGTACACTTTAGAAAAGCCCTACAAGGTATAGAGTAACTTATTAAATTTAATAGGCACATTTCACTTTGTGAATTTCATACATCTTGTAGGTAACTGCTATGACTCATTTACTTTAGGTGTGCTTTTGCCCCAGAGCCAGTTGAGCAGAACTTTGGAAGGACTTTGGACATCTCGAGCTGAAAAAGGAAAAGATTAATTTATCGAAAATTTTCTCACTGATTGTAGAATACTGGTAAAACATTATCTTATTTTCCAAAACAAGCACTTTTCTCAATCACCATCTCCTCGTCAACCAAGTTGGAGTCTTCAGGAGATGAAGAAAATTAATTCCTAATCCTCCCAATTTATATATAACAGGACACACTTTTACTTTCTAACACACATCAATGATTTCGGGTAGAAATTCGCGAGAAATGTTTTCAGGATCAACGGTCTCAGTTGAGGAGTAATCAAAAAGTACATAAATTAATAAAAATCTGCATGGAACAGAATTGCTTCCAGTTCAACAACTGCTTCTTCAGACAGCATGATGGCATGGCAATGGGAAACCCACTCTTCCCCTTCATAGCTAATCTGTGCAGATTTGAATTGGAAGCAAAAGATGAGTAAGATTACTTTCCACTGACGTGGATCCGATATGAAGACGATGTATTTACGATTTTTCATACAAATGAATCAAAGGTAGAAGACTTCGTTTCAACAATTAATAACAGAACCCCAAATTGAGTTCACATATATGTCAACGAAGCGTTACCATTTTTGGATGTCTTTGTAATTAGAATTAATTGGGGTCTAGATTTTGATGTTTACAGGAAGAATATCGATACGTTTAAATATATTCCTGATAGCTCACACCACGCCAATTCAAAACTTTCTTTCATAGGCTTGTTATGTTTCCCTTCAGGTACGATATTAAGAAAAATGTTATTAGGGACAAGGCTGAAATCAAAGGGTATTTTTCAAATATTGTAGAAAACTTAAATAGGAAATATAAATTCTGAGAGAATCTACGAGTCAAAGTGCATTGTCCTTCCGTAAAAACCAAGATACACTACCTGATTAGATCGTATTTTCAGAAAGTTGAACGTGAAAGTAGCCATCAAAACTTCTTCTCACTTCAACAAATGTTAGGTAACCCTAAAGATAAGATGTTGGAAAATGAGAAGTCGGGAATGTATGAACTAAGCTGTGAGGACTGTGACAGAAAATATATTGGTCAGACTAAACGAGCTTAGGAGAACGACCGTAGATTAAATGAAAACTGTTTGAAATTGTTGAGATCGGTACATGACACTAGATTTTTGGATGTTTTCGAATGTCTGGAAATAATAAAGTGTGGCATGATAACTATGAACAGTAACAAATATGTATCGCACTCTGTTAAAATTTGCGGGAGCTTTCACGAGAAAACTCTCCTCAAATTTCTACCCAAAATCATTGATGTGTAGCCGAAAGTGTGTCCTGTTAGATACGCCAACTTGGTTAGTGAAACGCGCATCAAGAAGAGTATTGCAGTTCTGGTGACTGGGAAAAGTGCTTGTTTTAGATTTATTCTACGCTAAATATAAGCTGACTTGTGGCTCTTGCCTTAAACTGTATATTGACCAAACAGGGAGAACTTTTTCCAAAGAATTAAAGAGAATAGACACAGTTTTGTAAATGAAAAGACCAATTCCACATTTGCAAACCACCTTTCAGCAGAAGGTTATAAGTTTAAACATAAATACGACGTATTACATTTAGAAGAGAAAAGTTTGAAACCTAATCTTCTAGAATGTTTAGAAATCAATAGATTCAAGAATTCGGGTAATTTACTGAATGATCAATTAGAATTGAAAAATTCCCCGTTACTAAATATTTTTTCAAATGTGGAAACTGGGACATAATCTCAGGTAATTTAATTCATCACAACTTAGGTACTTGAAATGTAGGTACTTTTTATTGTAAAATTAAGTATATCAAGCGTTGAAAATGTAGAATATAGTTAGTAAAGACACGCCCGAAGACGCCATTGTATGGCGAAACACATGTTGCGTTTTTGTAAAACTGTTTAGTGAAAATCTTACAATAAAGTGTTTTCTGAATACGTCTTTGATATCTTATAGCTAAGAGTCAAAAGCTCATCTCATCGTTTTTAGTTTATCAAAAGTGAATAGTAACCCTGGAGAAAAACGCATGAAGGGTGATCCATTGTGTAGGTCATTTTTCATTCATCCAAAGTGACTATCATAAAGCTTATTCTGTAGCATGCTAGACCAATACTTTTAGTTCTCCACTTATCTTGTAACACATCATTTCAAAGATCTTAAAAATCCTCACTCTACCCCTTTTAGAAAACTGAAATTGGTTGATTCGTTCTCCTAAAATAGGGCAAAAAGAAAATTAATTATAATAAAAAATAAAATAATAGCTATTGCAATTTAAAAGACAAAAGTGTGACTTATTTTCAAGAACTGGAAAAGAAACACTCAGCCCAGCCAACTGTGTCAAAACTTTTTTCAGCGGCTTCTAAGCAAGACGACGACGGACTCCGAGCTTCCTACAATATCTCCTTGTTAATTCCTCAAACAGGTAAACCTCACATTATTGGAGATGATTTAATTTTACCCTGCAATAAAAGGAGTAATATCTACTGTGCTGCATAAACCAGAGGCAGATATTATCCGAAAAATTCCTTTGAGCAATAGTTTCGTGCAAAGACGAATTGATGAGATGACTGAAAACATTGAGAAGTCATTGTGCAATCATCTGAAGACTTCTAAATCCTCAATTCAGTTACATGAGTCTACTTTACCAACCAATGAAGCAATGATTTTATTGGACCCCACGGGACATATTTCAATGTATCCTTTCCGAAGCTCTAGTCTATCAGATATATTCCTCACAGTCGTAGGGGGCTGTGGAGAATCATTCTTTAGAGTCGTAGAGGGCTGTAGAAAATCAATCATTCCTCAGAGCCGTAGGGCACTGTGGCATGGTTGAGTTGTTAGAAACACAAGTTTCTAAATACACAACAATGAAACATTGTTGTTGTCATACGTGAGCTTTATCAAAAATGAGAAAATATATCAAGAACTACTATTTGCCAGAAATTTACAGACGGATACAAAAGACGAAACCATATATAATACACTGGAAAAATTTGGTGATGAGAAAGAAATTCCACTGAAGAATATTATATTAGCTGCTACGAATGGCGCTCCGGCTATGACAGGACGTCATAAAGGCTTCATAGCGTACTTAAAAAATAAAATTCTAGATGTGCTCGCTGTATCTTGCGTCATTCATAGGCAACATTTGGTTGACAAAAATTTGAGTGAGCGCCTCTCTCAATCACTGCAATATATCATCAAAGCAGTCAATAAAATCCGAAACAGCTCATTAAATGACAGATTATTTGATCAGCTTTGTGTTGCTAATGATAAAGATTTTTACGGATTGCTAATTCACACAGAAGTGCATTGGTTATCAAGAGGTAACTGTCTGACTCCATTTTACAATCTATTTGACTCTGTAATAGTGTTCATGGAAAACAAAGAATTGCACGACAACCTCATCACTTCAAAGAATGATATTGCGTACTTGACAGACCTGTATAAATTATTTAATGATATCAATCTCCGACTTCAAGGTGACAACTTGAATTTAATTAAGACAAAAAATGTCATTGCTGCTTTTGTAGCCAAATTGCTCTTATACAAGAATAATATCGGCAGACGTGAGTTCCGCAATTTCCCTGATTTGTCAGCAGTATCCTTCAATAACGACGACTTGCATGTTTACTGCCAACATTTGGAAAACCTCCACAGTGATTTCGCAGTACGATTCCAGAAAATTTTTAAAATGGAAATAACGGACTGGGTGTTGGATCCTTTTTCAAATGTCAACACAGCAGGATCACCCCAGCTGGAAGAAGAACTCATAGAACTGATAANTCAATTTAAAACAGATTCCTATGGCTGGGATTGCATCAAATAAGCGATTGAATGTCATTACGTACTGTCACTGATGACATGAGTAAATTTAACTCATTTGTGACATAAAGTCATAATTTTATGAATGAATTGAGGGTGCTTCATCTTGTAATGTTGCCCAGATTGGTGCTGAAGAGGCAATAAGGCAAATGTCTTACATTCACTTTACATGCTTTCATGCAAACTGAATAATCTATTAGATGCAATCTGCAGGGCACGCCTTCCGCCTTCCTTTATAACCCATATAGTGGTACCGCATAACTGTGGTTTCAAGTCTGTCATATGATATGGATCCGATGAGCAACACTTTTCAAAAAGGCTGGCATATATTTTTTATTTATGTAATTGGCTGACCTACTTGATCAATGTAGAAGAGGCAAGAAAGAGAAAACAAATATCTATCTATCTATAGACTAAATGTTGTATATATGAAATCAGAGGGAAATATAAGGTAGAAACATAAAAACTGAAATACATTTTGAAATTAATTACCTCTGCTGGGAGGTAATGGTTCGAGATACCAGACGCCCTCTCGTTATAGAAAACCTTGTTCTTTCCTTAGCTACTCATGAAATCCTTTATGTATCATGGAGTTAAACGATCTCAACTGTCCTACCTGTAACATCAGATCGAAAGCAAGAGCTTCTTAGTTCTCTAACTCTTGAATACAAACATAGGTGGTGCAGCCATGAAGTGAATTTTCACCTCTTCAAGGACATGTTATCTTATGAATCTGTCTTGCACCAAATTCTTGAGCACCAAGAGCATCTGCAAGTATCTGCGTCAGGAGAGTAAACAAACTTCTCCTATGCTCAAATGATGATTTTTCCAAACCAAAGGCAAAAAGCCCTTTATGACTGAATCTAATGTATTGTAAGATGCCTTCATGTGGAAAGGTTGCTGCGATTTTCAAGGTGAAAATTTTTAACCATGAAGATCTGACAACAATCTCTTTAGTATGCCATTATGACTGTCATAGAGGATATTCCTGAAGATGATCCACATTATGACTTGGATGGCTGTAGGTTAGTTACCTGAGATGATCAGAGCTGGTGGGTGCTTTATTGAAATGTGTCACAGGTGCCTACTTTCCAAACCATTGGGTTGCTTACCTAGTTGACGGTTTGGTGGAGTTTGAATAGATGTGAATCACAATAAACCCGACCATTTTGGAATTACCCCCTACCTACTCAAAGTACTCGCTTATTGAAATTACTTCCATAATGATTATTAGAAATTCAAAATATAAAATTATTCTACTTACACAGTGTATACCTAGCATCTACCAGTTTGGCTTGTGCTTCCGGCGGCAACTTTGAAGCTTCATTGATGTGCTGCTGCATTATCGACATCTGTTGATACCTGCGCAGCTGCTGTTCATCGACAAACGTTTTATCTTTTTTATAACCAACTCTCTTGAGCTCCAGTAATCTATAAAAAATATATAGTTTAATGTTAAGATGATAAATCACAGAAATGTACTAACTTGTTCGCGAGGTCTTGATTACTAGGAATTTCTTGAACTTCAGAAGACAACTCCAGATCGGAATCTTTCAAGGATGCAGCTGATGGAATACTCTGCAAGGTGGTTGGGTCCAGGTTGGATGATGAAGTTTCTTCAGTACCTGTGGAATTATATGTTCAAAATACTTTTTCTTAGTATGACACAATATTTTTGTAAATCTATAACACAATGAGTACAAATTTTTGAAGAGTCTACTGTAAATTTCAAACGAGAAACAATACAAGCAAGGCGTCTCTGTCACCAGACCATGGATGCATATTGCATATGTTGTCAAGGGTAAAGTCTATACAGGGTGTAACATAAGNGTTTATATCGATATTTTTTCTTAAAAATATCTTAGGAATACTTTATTCGAATAATTTACCGTACTTATGTTACACACTGTATATCATGTCAATGCCATCCGTCTTTCTTTTTACTGTTTCTATGTTGGTTCCAGATCAACTTCAGTTACAATTGGATTAGACATTTTCAACAGTAAAGTAATAGCAAGTAAAGCCTGACTGCATAACCCTCCTTGTAGCTTATTGCTATTGATTTTTATTATCTAACCTAATTTTCATCATATTGCCGATCAGTGGAATTATGTCATTTTTTAAACGGTTTTGTCTTGACTTGAGGTTTTCTCAACATAGATTACAGAGATTGCATCCTTGTTAAAGTTTTGTTTACTGCAAATATATCCTCCAGTACAACCATCATGGTATTTCTTGAGCAGTTTGGAACATGCCTCCGTCAGATTATTTTACCAATTAGTATAAATTGTGTGAAATTTAGGAATTATTCGATTAGGGAATTTCCATTTCCAAGTAACTAAACTTTGAGGTCTGTTGAGTTCCACCTTCACATGCTGGAGCATAATTTTTTTGTGCTTTCTCTACCTTGACTCTTAGTTCTATTTCAGCACATAATTTGTAAATTGGGTTTTGTTTTTTCTTTCTTTAGTGTTTACGACATTCATTCTCGTATATACTTTCTTAATATCATAAAAAATTCATTTCTTCAGTTCTATAAGTCTCATTTGATTAATTATTCACTCAAGTTTTGAATTCAAATATTTTTATATTTCAAACCTCTAACAATTTGTTTCTTTGCAAATAGGTTTTCATTTTTCATCAGTTATGGTGATTCATTTTCATATTCAATTTTAAACTCATTTACTTGGCTTTCTTATTTGCTCATCTGAATAGTTTGGTCCTATAAGTTTTTTTCATTAAATTATTTTACTCTAAGTCTAATCCTTGATATTTAACAAGGAATAATCAAATTACCTGTTAATTCACCTTTCGCAATTTTGCGTCTGGTTTCTTCATTTTCTCTCAAAGCATTAGATAATCTCAACTGCAGAGTATCTCTTTCTTCTAAAATTAGTGCTAATTCAACCATAAGCTCTTCACAGCGAACATCCCTTTGATGTAGCATATAGAGAGCTAAATCTAATTCGGCTCGACTAACAGGATCCGATAAATCTTCTTCTGCAATTGACCTTGTAGTCGCCGTAGAGGTACCTGGATTCTCATTCTGAAAATAATAAAAAATTATAATAGGAAATATGTTAATTGAAATAGGTAATATGCATAACAATATTCATGATAACTTACGTGATTATTTACATGATATTGATTACTGATCTCTGTTAAGCAACCCAATATCCTTCGCAAATTCAGACTCAAACTTTGTTGATCATAACATCATTTATTGTGTAATCAACTGATGATTGAAAGTATCACGTCTTCTTATAAGAGAACAAAAAAGTATGAAAATGGGATAAAAATGATATACGATAATAATGATACAACATTCTGAATCTTGTACTTAGTTTTGAATAGTGGTGATAGAAAATAAAAAATAGTTTAGGAATTTCAAGTTTTCGTTCTCAAGGGATAAGCCTGAGTAAAAGTAAGCATGGAGACGCTATCAATGGAATCAACAGAAAACACACTTTGCTTATTGAAAATAAACAAGGGTCACCGCGGCAGTCAGTGTTGATGCCTTGCTTCAAATTGACCGTTTTTGGGATAGTTGTCTTGTAGGGAAAAATATTTTTCATTTGGCAGTTGGGCAGTTGATGTTGAAGTTTTGCTTTATAACAGACCACCACGGGACCGTTGTTTTTTTTTTTTGGTAAGCATCACCAGATTAGTATTAACTGAATTCGCAATTTCAAATTGATATGTTTCTTAATTCGATAGCAATTTATTGTTATATAAAAGTAGTAAAAAAAAGGTAACATAGAAATTTCCAGTAAAATTTCCACTTTAATAATCTTGTTAAAAATTCTTGGGAAAAATTATGGAAGTATTTACAAAGAGTCTTCAATATGACTTCGTCAAGTTATGCAACAATGAGTCGGTAGTTTTAGATGTGGAAACCAATTTTGAAATGAAAGTGGACTTGGACAGATTATGTGGACTCTTGTTACTAGATCTGAAGAATGCTTTTGACTTGACATTTTTATGGATCTCCAACACAGCCTTTTCCTGAAGCTTGAAAATACAGAGATTATAGAGAGACATCAAATCAAAATACTTTAGGAAATTACAGAGTGTAATTACAGTAAGTAATATGCAATTCATTAATGCAACTGAACCCACGGCATTTCCCGGTTGTCCGACAACAAACACAGCACTAGACACTTTATAGGTAATACTCCCTATGTGACTTAAACAACTTACACAATCATCAACATTACTATTTGAGGACATAGGAATATTTCAAGTCTATTTATTGTTACGTTTTAGATTATTTGAAATAAACCAGGTATTTGCTAGATCTTTAATTCCAAAACAAGTACTGCTCAGAAACACCTCAACATGAGTTTTACCAACTAAGTTAGAAACTCCTGAATGTGAAACTCCTCTATTTATATTAAACTGGATACACTTTCACTTTAAAAAACACATCAGTGATTTCATGAATATAAATTGGCGGGTAATTATGTCGTGAAAGTTTTCGATAATTTCTGATAGTGATTCATTTGAAGATAAACAATGGGCTGTTTGGAAAAGAACCTTCGTCACTGTTCATAGTTCTCAGGCCACAGTTTGCTATCTTGTGTCAGGTATCGATCTCAACAGTTTAATTAATTTATTCCATGGCCGATCTCCAACTCATTTCGAAGGACATCAAACTTTTCTGGTCTCTGCTGCTGCTGTGTGTTCTTTGAAACAAGTTTCAATAGATTGTTTAGTCTGACCTATATATTTTTATCACAGTTCTCACAACTTATTTGAATATCCCTGACATTTCATTCAACAACATTCTGTCTTCGGAGTTACCTAGCATTTGTTGAAGTGAGCAAGCAGTTGTAAAAGCTACTTTCATGTTCGATTTTTTGAAAATGTGATATAGTGTATCTTGGTTCATATGAATCGACTATGAACTTTGGTTAAGCATCATTCAGAAGTCGGGGATTTTCAAAGACTCTCCTTGAATTTACGTTTCCTATTTAACTTATCTGCTATATTTGAAGAATACGTATTGCTCTCAGCTATGCTCTGGATAACATTTTTTTCAATATTGTATCTTTCCTTACTTATTTAACAAGTCTTCGGTCGAGAAAGTTCAGTTCCGATATTTTTTGTTATGGACAATGGTGTGAGCTATCAGAAGTATATCTAAAAGTACTGGCATTCTTCCTTTATAACATAAAATTCTAGACACTATTTACTTCTAATGGCCAAGACATTCAAGAATGGTAACTCCTTGTTATTTCAGTTGCATATGTAAAACTAATATCCAGGGATCTATTGTTAGGAGAAGCAAAGAGTGTTGTAGTTTTGGTGTTCTGGAAAACGTGCTTGTTTTGGATATACTCTTCATCAGAGATTTCAGGGCTACCTTTCAGTAAGGATAGCTTCCAAGTTTACTATCAGGATAAGGAAAATAGATGCAGATATTAGGTTTTTGAAAACATGTATTAGTAAATTTGTTTTACCAAATTTTATTCAAGTTAACATTTTATCTTACAATTCTTGAAATATAAGGTCTACCAAAAATTCACCAGCCTACCAAGTCGGTACTAGGTAGGAAGATAGTTGTGACTGATATCTATGCAACAAAATTCAACAGATCGAAATATTCGTTAATATGGGAGCATGGAATTGCATGGATTGTTATATTTCAAAAGAGGAAAATCTACCCTTTCACATACACATTCAAGTCATAAAGGTTCTTATTGTTTGCATTGAAAGGCAGGTTATGTCACGTATTGTGTAAAGAAACTTACCAGCGTTGGTTGTTGTGTAATTGTTTTCCTGTTGATATCCATTTCAGCAATGAGACTGTCGTAATCATTGCACTTTTGGAACAGCTCTTCTTTCAACTGCTCAATTTTGATCACCTGCTGCTCGATAATACCTCTCATTTCCGACAGCTGATTGTTCTCTTCTTCTAACAAAGAATTTTGCTCAACGATTTTTTTCTGTAACTGTTTCTGTGACTCATCTCTTGTTGCTAATTCACGGTTGAATTTTTCGTTCACTTCCTGTAGGTTCAAAAGAGATTCATTGAGTTGTGATCTGATGGTTTGAATGTCCATTTCTTTTGAGGACAATATTTCTCGATAGTGATTTTCCAAATCACTAATTCGGTTTTGTTTCACCTCCTCTATTGATTGCATGTACTCTCGTTGTTTGGCATCTGAAAGCTTTTTCAATGTATTCAATTCTTCATCTAGAATTTCTGAATTTCTCTGTGAATAGGCCAATTGCTGATTAAGATTTTCAAGTTCATAAGCTTTGTTAGCCAATTCTTGGGTAGCTTGGAACAACTGCTGCTGACATTCTGAAAGAGACTGTTGAAGTACATAATAATCTTGCCTGAACTGGGACACTTCCATTTCAATTTTTTGTTTTTCTTCCTCAGCATGTTCAAGATTTTCTGGTAGATGTTTCAACTTTTCAATCTGCTGATTCTTTTCTTCAATAGAACTTTGTAAAGAGTCGTTATGGAGTTTGAGTTCTTCCAAGTTCTGTTTATATGTCTCTAGTGTTTTGAATGCTTCATTTTTCTCATATTGTAATTTATTAAGTTCTTCTTGATTATTATTACATCGAATCTGCAAAAAGTAATTAAAACAAGCTTGAATATGGTACTGTAATATAGAAGTCTAATAAGAAACAAAACTCATTTTTTGTGGATGAAACATCAGGTTTTTATCGATCTTATTGGGTATTTTCATCTACCACAATTAAAAAACTTAAAAACTGTAATAGATATACATGAATACTAGAGTACCACAAGATTACATTCTTGGACCCATTTTGGTCATAATTTTCACAAATGGTCTATCAGATATTGGTTAAATTGCTTTGTGATAATAATTTGCAGGTGAATGTAAGAAAATCCAAATTTATGTTATTAGGGAATAAAAATCAGTTTAAGCAAATAAATGAACATTTTAATTTAAACAATAAAATATTCAACGAACGAAATTAATAGCTGAAAGAGTGTAAATATCTGGGAATTATTTTAAATAAATATATACTCTTGATAAAAGTTTGCATTCCCTAAAACTAAACATGCACCAACGAAATACAGTAAATCACGCGTAATATACGAGGAGCCTTCAAATATTTGATTTTGAGACAGGAATAAAGTACTCTTATTTTGAAAAATTTTGGGAAATGTTATTCAGAGAAGTTGTTCAGCATTGAAAAATACATCTAGATTTGAAGTCATGGCCATCTAAGTGAAGTTTTATTTTTTTACCCATTTTTTTTAAATGGGGACTCAAAAAAAATATTTGCCAAAACGATAAATATATATCATCCTGTATACGATGGTTTATTTTGAAAGTCTGTAATATTACAAATTACACAACTATGGTGTTAATCACGGTCGTTTTTTTTGAGGNGAGATAGAGAGAGAGAGAGAGAGATTTCCACCTTTCCTGAGCCAGCTATAGTGAACTGTACGTGCAATGTTGAGCCAGATTTACGAAGCTGAGCCGTATATGTGGCTCAGGTTTCTTTTTCCATATTAAAAGGTTCAGATGGTTTGAAAATATGTGATTATTTTCTTATAAGTTCGGGCGATTCTTAGTGAATCCTGATTCTTCATGTTTTTCATGTGATTTATCGTTATATAGCATTTACGCACAAATTTTTCCCTCCAAAAAATGGCTCAGTTTGATACGAAAGATATAATTTATAGTTCAGCAAATTGCCAAGAGTGGCACTGTCGGATAATTCGTATATGCAAATCGTATATGTCTAAAACTAATCCGTACATTACAAGCCGAGCCATATACATATGACAACACTGTGCTTCCATTAATTGGTTCGAGCACAGTAGGATGTACGAGTATGTTTTGACTGATATGAAACACTATAAAGACATTCAACGAAAGTAATTTTTGTGTGGAGAAAAATCAGTTTTTTATCGACTTTTTTTGGGATCTTTTATCTTCCATAATTTGAAAAATATGAAATTTATAATGGATAAGTTTATACAAGTGTAGAAAGGGCAAACATTTTAGTTTACCCCAATAAGTTACTGCGTAAAATCAAAGTATTTTTCACAAAGAAAATATTCTATTTATCAGTAACTTATCGTATTTAACAATTTTGCCTATCAAAAAAATTGTTAAGAAATAATACAATACTTAACGTTTCGGAGGCCAAAATTCGCCTCCGCCTTCAGAAATGGACAAAAAGTTCAAAGATATTTGCAGTTATTCCTTTGCTGATTATTTATTTCTTGACTTCTTTGACAGATGTCAAAGGAGTATTGAAATGTGAAATTATGTCAATGTTGTTGATTGACAACTGAAACATTTGATGTAATACAAGGTGCTATCCGAATTTTCCTTCAACATTTTTATTTGTGAAAAATACTGTGATTTTACGCAGTAACTCATCGGGGTAAACAGAAAACTTTGCCCTTTCTACACTTGTATAAAGTTCTCCATTATAATTTTCATATTTCAGATTGTGAAAGGTGAAAATTTACCAAAAAAGTCGATAAAAAACTATAAAGACAAAATGACATTTTGTTTTTTTTTTTTGTGATAAAGATGTTTCACATTTCTCCAGACATCTGCGAACTTGGCACCCAAATGAAGTTCATCTCAGAAGAAAAGCGTCAGGCTTTGAGTGTTTTGGAATAAAGAGGAAATTATGTGAAAAATCGATTTACTTTGCAAATGAGGCCAGTGAGGCAGGTTAAATCAGGAATACTATTATGTAGCAGTGAGTTTCTTCCCTGTCAACATTTTTTAGGGTTTTATAAAAAGAACAGTTTATATAGACACACAAAGAATTGTGATAGTAGGCCAATATCAACTCAAGGAAAAAGACGAAGTTCTCAACACGAGGGTCAAACAGATTGAATTTTTATAGGCTCTCTGATAATACTCACAAGGCAGCAAAAATTTCAAAATTGTCGCTTCTTGTAAGTGAAGGCGGATTGGAAAAATAAATAGGTTTGGACTTAAATCATATTCAGGGTGTTTCAAATTCACCACCGGAAACTATGAGAGATACGAAGATGGTTGAATTAGTGAAAAAGTTGCGCATTTACCTGACTAACAATATGCCGTTGAGAAATTTCTGAAATTCCGAGTATACATGGAGATATCCGGAAAAAACAGAAATTTCGGAAAATGGTTTTAATTTTTTTATGTTTTTTTTCTGGTTTCATTTTTCGAAGGATTCGAAAATAAATTACACTTCCACGTTGCCACTTTTTCCCTGCTACATACTCCACATACTCAACAAACTCGGTGATATTTTGATCCAATAACTTGAACATAGTTCAAGTTATTGGATCACATTGGATTTTCCACAAAAACGGCTTTATTAAGAAAACTTGACGATTTAGGTATAGGGACATGTATATCATCTTGAAGCATTTTTCACCATCTTTCAATTTATCGAGTGATATACAGAGGGTTTCATTTGAAAAAATGAACTTTTGACTACTTTTATGCACAATGGAAATAATAGTAATTTTAGCACGCCCTGTATAATATGGAGTCGATTTCTTGGTGTTATTTGAATATTTCGAGTTTGTCGAAACTATCATCAAAATATCAACTTTTCATGAATTGAGAGTACTGATGTACTTAATTTCAATTAAGGCTATGTTTTGGACCATATTTAGCACAATTTATTTTTTATCTCGAAAACAGATAGAGATAGGTATAGGACATTATTAACAAAAAAGTATTAAAATTCCAGAGCGATTCATTACCACTTTGTCAACAACTTCATATACTATTTCCCTATACCTATATATTACCGTTTAGAAGATATAAATTAATTTCGATATTTTTTTTACCAAACATGAACTTTTATAAATGCTGATAATCTTGAACTCTCTTGCACTAAAACGATCAAATTTGAAATGGAGTGGAGTGATACTATGAGGATCTTCACTCCGAGTCATATTTTCATTTGCCTCATACAGGGTCTTCAAAAAATGCAGATACTTTGATCTCATGAAAAAATGAGTGGAACTCAATTTTTTCAAATGGAACACCCTGTATATTTCAACATTTTTGAGCTCTACATCCAATTTCACATTATCTTTGTTCAGATAATACTATTTCTATTTTGAACCGTTTTCGAGATAAACTGTTTCAAACGGAAACTGACGTGGTTTTCTTGCTCGTTTTTTTAAATTCATCACTTATTTTGGATATTCAACATTTTTTTTATACTAAGTAATTTAAGTAATTTTTTTTGACAGTTTTTTAACTGTCTCAGATCAGTCAATTCGAAATTGGTATGTACCTACCTTAGAAAAAGTTACAATTTGTATACATTGAGGTATTGGTCTCTAACGTACAACAGTACACATTAATATTTTTTAATAGTATGAGTAGATGAACAACACCGATTCTGGACCACTTGGGAGTGAGGGAAACGTCATCGAAATCGACGCAGGATGGAACGAATATCGTAGCGATTTAAGCGTGGTACTCCGCCCCTCGGCCCCCTAGGTACTCCACCTAACCTATCAGCTCCCTTAGTACTCCGTCCTCGGCCCCCTTAACGTAGCAATTTAAGCGTGGAACTCCGCCCCTCGGCCCCCTTGGTACTCCACCTAACCTATCAGCTCCCTTAGTACTCCGCCCTCGGCCCCCTTCAGTCACGTGATTTTAATTAAAAAAAGTTTATAGTTATGAGATTCCAACCTCGATCATCCGCGCGGTAGACATTGTCCTTAGCCTCTACACCAACGTAAGATATTGAAGGTAACTGCGAATGTTGGGTATTTACAGCGTTATTTTTGTCGGGACCGAAATTGACTCATTCATTAAATTTGACAGCATTTTTTTTTATTTCCGTAGAATGTAATCGTCATTATCTTGTTGAAGATAGGAAAATATACTTAGATTTGGGAAATAATTAATATTTCATGTAAAGATGTGTATGTGTGTGTAAGAGCGAGAAATGCGTGTGACGTAATCGTTGCAAAGAGAGATGGAGATGATATCGAGATTTACCGGTTGCTGGCGCAAGCAGGTGTTGCCGGTTGTACAATAAATCGTTGTTTATGGGGCAATGTAGCCTTGCCGGTTTTGAGAATAATCGTGAACGACTCGATGAAAATTGGGAAGCACGAAAGTGATATATTGATAATAATGAATCTGATTTAAGAAAAAACATTACAGATTAATGAGGCTGTATCGTTTCAAAGTGTGATCCCTTAATGTTACAAAGTATCTCAAAATACATCATTGAAAACAAACATGGCGTCGAAGTGTAACCTAACCTACATCTTCATTAATTATAGCTGAATCTCAACGTGCAGCACATCAAATGAAAGGGAAACGAATGCAGAATTCATCGACAGAGAAAAAGCAAATCTGACGCAACATGTCAGAAGGTTATGCATATCGAATTCATTAGGATTCGCTTCGATGATTTCAGTGATGAGAGGGTCAACAGTAGTTTCTAGCATATTCAAATATAGTTCCCCAGTTGAATTTTGATCAATAAATAGAGGTCATATAATATGGTTTCCCAATATTGATAGATTGTTGACGTGGTACCTTTCTACTAGTAAGACCGAAAGCTTAATGAGAATATTCTTACTGAACAATGATGTCCATTGTCGTACTGACATTTTTCGTCGTTTTTATAAACGAAAAATAACTTGACAAACCTTATCGGGTTGTTAGAATTGTCATATGACAGATAAAAAAAATATTTCTAGAAATATCGATATCAATGTGTTTGACTTCAGGAAATTATCAAATGTTCCGCCTTTTGTAGTAGTTGAAGATATTGACTTCACACTCTAGGGTTGTAAAGCATTTGTCAGGAGCTTCAAAAAGTTGTGTCACAAGACCCTCCTTTCCGTTTAATTTTTTTTCCCAGATGGCGCCCAGACGCCATCTTGAAAGTTTCAGCTGTCAATTTCACTTTGAATTAAAGTATTCATGCATTAATTCCATTATTCCAAATTTCAATTTTTTGAGTCTACCCGTTCAAAAAATAAAAGGGGGGGGAAACATTAAATAAATACACTGTATACTGAAACGTAGTTGGAAAACTCAACACGCAACAACTTTGATGCATTATAGTGTTTTGCCACTGTCATCGTATTCAATGTATCTGAAGAAAGGTTGGATGGGTAACAGGATCAATTTTTTCTTAAAAAAAAACCAAATGTTGTCCTGCCAACGTTTCGAATTTAGTTAAAAATTCTTCTTCAGGGCTCGAAAAGTAGTTTCTTCGTGTTACTATTACTATTTCAAAAACCATTAGACATATTAGATTCATTTAAAAAAAAATTGAAAACATTGCAAAAACCTAATTTTCGAGACAACATCAACACTGAACGATATGAACCAAACGTTTCATGTCAAATGGTTTTTAAAATAGTAATATTAACACTGAATCTCCACAAAAAAGCCTAAGGGCTTGATATCAGGTAATCGCACTTCAGATCTCATAGATAGAACAAAAGAACTTTGCAACTAAATTATTCCAGGAATATTTCATAAAATAGGAAATACATTTGTAAACTTCATCATTATCAAGGAGTGAATGGTAAATATTTCAAAAATGTATTGGTATGAACCGGACTGAGTTGAATACATTTTTTTTTAATTATGATATTAATCTGTGTCAAAGCTACTCTCCAGAATTTTTGGCAGTGGTCTGTAGGTGTTAAAGCCTATCTACTATGGTAGACATTATCAAAGGCAATGAGATAACGGTCGAAGAGCTCGGGTTGTTGTTCCCATTGTCCCCAACGCAGAAACTACAATGCCGGTATTTGACTCCGGGTTTATATAATCAATGGTGCTTGTGGCCTGATTTCTCTCAATTGGATTACCTGAGCTTTGTGTACAATAAAAGACGATTAACCAGATTGTATTAATGTTCATTGTCTCTTATTTTTTATTGAAATTATTCCCATGTTTTTGAATTTCCATTGTCCTCTATATACTCTTAGATAGCAATTTTGAGTTCTATCGAATAATACTGAGATAATGTAAGTGTTTTTTTTTTGAGAGAATGTTCGGCTACAGCTGATTTTTCGGTTTGTCCAAGGCGACAATTTCTCTTGTGTTCAAAAAGACAGGTACTTATACTTCTTTTCGTAGTTCCAATGTAGACCGACTCGCAGCTACAAGGAATCCGACAAAAAAAACGGAAAATAGCTTTGACACAGTTAACTCCGGCTGTGATTTACACTCTATGATATTTATGGTTTGTTCGTGGATTCTCAAAACAAATATAAAACAGGTAATTACTCGAGAACAGCTAATTCAATTTCCGAAAATTAAAAAGGCCCCTCTTTCTGCTTGAAAAAAAGTTGGTAGCGCCCTCTCGGCGGCAATTGATGCAACACTATTGCCTTTCTTATCAAGAAATAGTTACTTTTATTAGTACATTTTGTCCAACCTTGATATCTTGTCCCGTTCAAAAGTTAAAGAGGGGGTACGTCCTACTCTGTATACTATATAATTCTAAAACTTACTGCAAGATTCTTACCTTATAGTCTTCTAAAATTTTATGTATCCTCAGCATTTCCTCTTCTTTCTCTTGAAGCACACCTAACTGTTTCTGCATTTGCTCAATATTCTGATTCTCTTTAAGTATATCTTGATTTTTTTCTTTCAATTGAACTATCTGATTTTCTAATTCACTAACCATATCATTCAACTTCACAATTTCTTTATCTTTATCATTTAAAGCATCGGAATTGGACTGTAGTTTGGAAATATGTTCTTTCAACGTGCTTATTTCTTTATCTCTTTCATTAACTGTACTCAACTGCCTTTGGAGTTCATTCAGCACCTCTTCTTTTTCACATGATAAAGGCCAAGATGTATTTCTCTCGAGAGTTTTCACAATCTCCTCTATGACTTCTCTCTTCTCATCAAATTGCTTCTGAGTTGTCTCGATTATTAGTTTGAGACTTGATAACTCAACATCCTTTTCAGCCAGCAAATTTTTAAGGCTTATTCTTTCATGTTCCAAATTTGACACTTGGCTGCTCAAAGAAACTTTCGCAATTTGCTCTTCGCCGAGTCTTTCTGTCAATTCCTTTATAGCTTGTTGACTATCGTTGATTTGTTGTTGCATAGCAGAAGTTCGGTCAACTTCATTTTTAATTTCTGTATCTACATTCTTTCTCAACTCATTATTTTCATTAACAAGTGCGTTGCACTTCTGTTCCAGTTCATTTATTTCATTATTAAGCCGTTCTTGAACTGCAGCAAACTCCGATTCAACCATATTCAAATGATACTTCCAACTCTCAGCAACTGTATTTCCTGAAATGCGTTTTCATTACTATCTCCAATATTTAAGGAATTTGATGAAAAAAATAATGATGAATATTGAAAAGTCCGTTGAATTAAATAAAAAATTCAAGAAAGTTAATTTTTAAGGGGCATCGGAAAATATTTAACAACTATTTGCTGGAAACTATGTGCCAGAAATTGTCATTAAAATCACATACTTTAGATATGGTTATTCATTATCGATTTTTCTGTAGTAGCATGCTTCTCTCTACTCTTCACCCACAGAGTCTAGCAAGACAAGAAGGTATAAATGATAATAGACACTAAGAGAAATCTGACCTGCCTTTTTTGATCCCCCGGGATTAGTTAACATTTCATTTTTTTTCTCGACTTTGTCGAAAATGTATTAGTAGCTACAATTTTGAAAATGAAGTTCTTAGGCATGTCTGATATTGAGAAAATATCTGGTTCACTAAGAAGTTTTTTGTTAATCATTATTATTATCTGATGAGTAATGAAGGAATTTTCATTTCGTGGTTTTGAAAGTAAAGTTATTCTACACCGTCAAAGTCTACCAAGGCAAGAAGGTATAAATGATAATAGACACTGAGTTATTCATTTATTATGTTTTTACATGCATTGATCCCAGAAGTATCAATAAAAGAGATTCAAGTACATGATGATGTTGAATGTTCAGAAAATGAAGGATTACAAGTTTTATATCAATATTGAGTACATTGAAGAAGACATGTTGGATTAAATTAATCAGTTGAATAAGTAGCTTACGTAAAATAATGAGATAAATGAGACGTCATCAGTAATATTATAAGAAACATTTAAAATATTACTAAAGGTAAAGTACACAGATAGGATATAATGAATACTTGATGCGAGTTTAAAATTATGCTGAAACACTCACCTCTTTCATCAACTTGCACTTCCCATTTCTGTTCCAACTCAGACATAGTTTTCGAAAATTTCTCCTCCATTTCAGCCACAACATTGTCCAATTCCTTTTGTTTCTCATTCAAATCATTCTTCAACTGTTTTATTTCTTCGTCAAGTATTTCCCTTTGTTTGTGAAGATCGCCAACAACTCTCTCCAAATCTTTTATTTTTTCTTCTTTGATAGCTAATAATCCTTCTAAATCATTTACTTGCTGAACCAAATCTTCTGAAGGCTGTTCAAGACATTTTTCATTGTTCTTTTGTTTTTCTTCCATCAACTGTTTTGTCAATTCATTAATTTCGAATGTCTTTTCAGTTTGCATCAGGTCAAACTTTATCTTTTGTTCCTCCAAATCATTCTGCAGATCTGAGATATTCTTCGAAGTAGTATTCTGGACTTCACTATATTCTCTCTTCAAATCCATCAGCTCTTGCAGCAATTCATGAATTTTGTCACTTTTACATTCATTCAAGTTCACAGCTTCTTCATACTGTATCTTCAAACTTGAGTAATCTTCATTTGCTTTACTAAAGTTTTCAAACAATTCCAGTAGGGTATTGGCAGTGTTATTAGTTAATTGTTGAACATCAGGATTTACTTCATTTGGATTCACATGTCTACTATTGCTCAGTTTCTGAGATTCCAACTCATTTTGCAACTTTTCAAGGCTATCTGAACTAGTTGTCTCAAGTTCACAATATCTCTGTTTGATATTTTCCAGTTCATTTGTGAGGTATTCTACTTGTTCCTGAAGCAATTTATTCAACGACAGGATTTCATCATGAGAACTTTGGATTTTGGTTGCAGCTGCCGCTTTTTCATCAAGTAAATCCTTCAGCTGACCAATATTCTCTTCTAATTGTTTCTGATGTATTGACATCTGCAAATTCTGGTCCTGTTTTGCTGATGCAATGTTTTCTTCAAGAGATATTCTCAAACTATCGTTGGTCTCATTTAGTTTTTCAAAAGTTTTTTCCATACTCTGAATGATATCTTTCTTTGATTTCAATTCACCAAGAAGCTCTTCAAGCATTTTTTCTTTTTCGGCAATGGTTTTATTAAATCCAAGACATTTATCAGAAAACTCCTTTTGCAAATTTTTCAGTTTATCCTCAAATTCCATAGACAATTTTATGAATTCTTCATCAGTTCTGGTGAAATTTTTATTTTTCTCTGCTTCAATTCTCAACTGTCGTTGCTCGTTCAGTAAAGATTGAAGTTCTTCATTATCCAGTGATAATTCTTTTATCATCTGCTGTAATTCTTCACAATTCTGACTGCTATTGTCATCATCTGCTGATTGTTTATCCATAGTTCCTTTAATGAATCCGTCACTGGTCCATTCTTGTTCTCGAAGCTTTTCCTCGATGTCTTCATATTTCCTTTTCCATCGAAGCACTTCAGCATCTTGCATTTCTTTCATTTCCACCATTTTTTCATTCGCAGATGAGAGTACGTCAATACGTTTCATCATATGATTTTTTTCTGTCTTCTCCTTTTCCAAGTCACCATGTATTTCTTTTATCTTTTTCTCCAAAGATGCTATTTGCGATTTGAGTTCTTCCTGAATGGTTTGCTCTAAATCAAAGAAATCCGAATTATCTGTCTTCTTAGGTTTTTGAGTAAGCAAAAGATCATTTTTTTGTTTCAGTTCTTTGCACTTCTTTATCAGTTTGCCAGATTTGACCTGGAGTTGTTTAATTTCCTCCAAGTGATTTTCCCTTTCTACTTGAAAAACTTGCAATTTTTCATTTAAACGAGTGATTTCAATTCTCAGAGCTTGTACATGAGGAGTGCTCTCAGCTTGATGTTGGTGTTCTTCCTCAAGCTTGGCTTCTTCGGGGCCCCAGCCCCATCCGTCATCATTTTCCCCAAATGCTTCAGTTCCAACCTGGTAAGTAAGATAAGCCTTCTTTGGTTGTGAAACTTCTTCTACTACAGCTTCCTTTTGTTGGCCTAAAGAAGGAGAACACTTTTCAAATTCAATTTGTTGAAGTGTCTTTTTATCATTGGCAGTCTCCAAAAGGTCTTCCGGAGATAAAATCTGAGCCTCCAATTCCGAAGGAACATTTATCTTTGTATCTGAATGAAGTTGAGAGACATCTGAATGGGGTGCATTTACTTTTTCATACACCAAGCGAGTAAGTTCGTTGAGCATTCCTGAACATTGGCTCAATATTTCTTCTTTCTCTTTATCCACATTGTACAACAGAACTTCTAGGGCTTTTATCTTATTTTCCAGATCTTGTTTTGTTACTTCCATAGGTTGCTGTATGTACGTATTTTCTGAAATGTTAGTATTTCCATGTAGATTTTCAACATTGCTAAAACAATTCTGAGTTTGAGTAAACTCTTGGGTTTTGGGCCAATGGAAAGTAGGAACCATTTCAGATTCTTTTTCATGAAAAGCATTTACCAGTACTGTTTCATGAATCTCGGTTTGGGTTTCTTTGGAGTTGATTATGAAAACTCGTTCTGTAGCTTCAGTAACAACACCATCTACCACATTTTTTGCGGTTTGAGAGAATATTTGCTTTTGAGTATCATCCAGTTGGTGTTTCAACTCATTAATTTCTTCAAGTCTATTAGCCACATTGTTATTGGCTGCTTTCAAGTCTTCTGTCAGTTGAAGTATCTGAAATATAATAATATTTTATATATAAGTAGTCAAATATATATGTACAGGGATTATTAAAGTGTGGATGGACAATAGATGCTTACCTATATAAAAATATTTGAAATAAGAGTGGTAGTGATGAAAGGTGTGTTTAAAAATAATCATCAATTTACAGGGTTTTACATTGACTTCCTTCAAAAGAGTTGTTCTCAAATATATAAGGTTGTTTGGGTTGATACCCGATGGTTCGAATGTTATGGCGAGATTCATGTCACAATATATCCTACACAATAGAAAGGGTAACAGAACTGGTACAAATTAAACTCAAACCATTTTTAATAGATGTTCAATATTCTTTTTTAAGCCATGGTGATTTAAAATAAATGAGATGATCTGTGAAAGAAAAAGAATGATGTCGTGAACTGCTCAACAGTTTCAGAGGACTTTCATATCAGTGGATTGAGTCCTACTTAATAAATAGAAATCAAATTGTGAAGTCTCTGCAATCTTTCTCACTGGAACCAATTAGATCTGACGTTCCATAAGGGTCTGTCCGAGGTCCAGTTCTTTTTCTGTTATATGTTATTGATTTGACAAGTGTACATATATCAGGTAAATTCGCCGTTTGTTTGAAGGTGATTGGCAATGTTTCTCTCTCAAGAATCTTCACTTCAGTACAAGAAAAACTGCTATTGATGCAATTCTGGTACGGCAATGTTGTTAAACTCTTAATGTCTGGTGATTTATGGAACTATGTTTGACGCCTTCCCAAACATGTCCAATGGTTATTGAAAGTTTGATTCAAAAATTCTCGCACTTACATGCTAAAATGCAACTACCGATAATATCTCAGAATAATTTGAAACAACAAAAATTAAAACTACATTTTAAACACCCTGTATCTTAAAAACAATAGCCTTGGTCTCATAAACTTTTTATCACAACAATATCTTAGAAACGACCATACAAAATATTGGTGTGAAAAGTACCCTGTATGAGAATCAAAAAGAAAAAAGTTCATTGATAAAGCAGTCAAAACCGGTTTATTGGTCATTATCAGTGCCATGTAGCTAAGTGCAAAGATTATCACTATGGTTGATGCAAAAATAGATGAACAGGTGACTTTCTATCTGCAGAGTAATAATCGAGAAACATGGAAAGTATCAAGTTATTCCAATGGTCTTTGAACTTATTATTCTTAGGATTCTCCAGCCTACTTTCAATACTTATTGTTGTTTTATAGGAATTCCTTTCCAAAAGCGTGAAAATGAATAACAACTTGTGAGTTGAATCTGGAAATTAGATAAAAGATGTTAAACCACTCTCAACATTCTGTTGGGAATTGAATAACTGTTTTAATTTATTTCCTTATCCATGAAGCCACCAGAAACATAATAATTGATAATAGAAAATTGCTTTCTACTTTACCAAGAAAACTTTACAATTACTGCTCAGATGTTTGAAAACATCATAAATTAATTTCATAACAGGTTAGATTATCATGAAAACATCTTAGTCATTAATGGGTATGAAGTTATTTTTATATGAGTATTTTTACCTAATGGATGGAGATCTCAAATTTCTTTCAAGAACAGAAAAACACGACCCTTTTTTACCAGAAGATATTTTGTAGAGGACAGTATAAGAAGGAATAACATTTTGGTAAAAAATATTGATTTTTGGAAATAAAACTTTTCGGATTGTTTTTTATGTTTTAGGTGAAAATTTTGAGTATTTGAATTATTTCATCTTGAATGATTAACAGAGAAATGAGAAAGAAATAGATAATTGTATTGAGAATTTCAACATCTTTCAAACAAGGTACAACTAAACCCCCTTTTCATTACACAATTTTGTGAGGGTTGATCTGTAAAGAAAGAGGTTGAAAAGGAAATGAAAAATTTATATGAAAACACATTTTCAAAAATATAAATTGAACTATTGAAAGATTTTCTCAAATTATATTTTTGTCCCTAATTATAAGCATTAATTGTTTCTTTGGACAATAAACTGAATTGAAGTGAAAAAAAGTTACGGAGATACAGATTTTATTTCATCATACGGATCATTGAGATTTGTTTCAAAATTTTGGGCATATATAGTGAAAATATTTGTCAGTTATTACCCTCTGGTAAAACAATTAAAATCAAATAGTTATCTGGTTTGAATATTCAAATGCAATAGAATGTAAAACTGACCTTTGTTTCATATTCACCTTCCATGTCTTGCAACTTTTGTTTATATTCTGCCAACTCAGATATCAACTCTTCTTCTTTCTCCTGCATATTCTTCAACAATTCCTTCAGTTTTTCACACTCAACAGTTATTTCATTCTTGCAAGTTCCTAACTCTTCTAACTGAGATTGATAATCAGATTCGATTTTCTCATAATCTCTTTGATTTTTGCTCAGCATTTCTTCTTTTTCCTCATGAGCATGTTTCACCAAACCCTCCAGGTGAGCCATTTGTTTTTTCAATTCAGCATTAACATTTTCTTGCTCTTCTATTGAAGACTGAGTAGCTTTTAACTGAGTTACTTTTTCATGTGCTTTCTTCAACTTGACTTTCAGTCTATTTATCAGCTCCTCTTGTTCTTTGAATTTATTATTCACAATTTTATTTTCTTCTTCACTTTCTTCTAGTTTCTTTACTAAAATTGAATTGTTTTCCTCAACTTCTGACAGTTTCTTGCTCAACTGTTCCCCTACCTGTAGTCTTTCCTCTATTGTTTTGGAAGAAAGGAGCACTTTCTCTTCTAGTGCTGAGGATTGTTTTTCAAGATTTTCTTTTTCTATAAGAAGACGAGAAATATCTTCTTCGAGTTTATGCACTCGTTCCTTAAAGTGTAATATGTCAGAATCATTTGTTTCGATAATGAGTTCCAGCTCTTTGATTTTGTCTTCATTTGTTGATGCGTTGCTACTATGGAGATTGTCAAATTCCGCGTGCAAACTGGAGGACAATTCTTGCTTTAAGCTCACTTCAGAAATTTTATCTTGTTTGTGCTTCATTTCCAACAAAGAATTTTGCAAATCACTTTTTTGTTGCTCCAGATTATCAATAATATCAGAAAATTCTTTCAGTCTGAATTCAGATTCTTCCAGATGTTTTGTTTTCTTGTTCAATTCTTCAGAAAGATTGTTTACTTGCACTACCAGGCTGCTCATTCTGTCACTAACATCACTTTCTTTTTTGTTAATTTCAGTTTCCCATTTCTCTTTTTCTTCAAAATATTTCTCTTCCAGTTCGGAATATGCTTGTGACTTTCTCTTTAAATTTGCAGCAATTTTTTTCATTTTTTCGAGCTGCTCTTTATTCTTCAATGACAGTTCTTCAACTTTCTTCTCCAGAGAATCGTTGTTGCCATCTAACTGATTTTGGAGTCTAGTATATTTTTCTTTCATCTCTTCAATGATCCCGCTGATTCTTTTGTCTTCCTCTTGCATCTGGATTTTGAGAGTTTTGATGATTTCATCTTTTTCCATCTGCTTATGCAACATCATTTTCATTTCTTCATTTTTTTTCTCAACTTCTACAGTTTGCAACAACTGATGATTCATATCCGAGAGTCTGCTTTCTAAATCGGCAATCTCCTCTTTATACTGTTGTTCTTTTGCACCAAAAAGTTCCATTTGCTCATTAAGAGCAGTTTTTAATTCGTTGACTTGTTTATCCATGATTTCAAAATTCGTTAATTTTTCATTCTCTTTCTGTAAGTCACTCACTACTTTATTTAGGTCATTCATAAGAATGTTCAGTTCTCTAATGTCATGTTCTTTTTCGTTCAAGTTGATTTGGAGTTCGTTAATAATACTGGCAGAATTAATTAGCTCAACTTTGTTATCTTCAATGATTGTTTGATAGTTGTTAATTTCTTCAAGATTCAGCTTGACGTTCGTTTCGAGTTCTTCGATTTTGGTTTTAGATTCCGATAGTTTCGATTCTAGGTTATCCTTTTCTTGGATCTCAAAGTCAAGTTCTTTAAGCTTTTGTTTAAGATTTTCATTTTCTTTCAATATTTCTTCATAGTGACTTTGCAACTCTTGAAATTTGATGATTGTGGAAGAATCTTCTTTACTATCATTTCCACCTACCTGGAAATGATCAATTATTCAAAGATCTATTATATAAAGTTAGAATGTATTATCTAATCAAACTTTTGGGTAATGTGACTGACCAGTTATAATTTATTTTTGCATTTATCAGTTGTCATTTATAGTATTCAGAAGTCAAAACTCGTTCCGAGATAAGGTTTAAAAAGGTCTTACCTTTCAACGTGCAATTCCCAGTAATTATATTTCAATTAAAATAGTTTCAGCAAAATTCAAACTGATAAAATGATTCAAAATAGCAACCACCCAATGTAAATATTCTTGAAAATGTGGAAATACCTTCTACGAAGGTATTACCGGACTCTACAAAGATCTTATATAAACTGATGATAACAAGCTGAATCTGTCATAAAATGAAGATAATGATGAATATATAATCAATATTACTAATGATAAAATAATAACTAGGCGAGATCGCCATTGAACAAATGAGAAATTTAGTGATTGTGGTACTACTTATACAGGTGTGCTGTTGACCAACAACCAGCAACATGTTGATAGAATACAAATAGCAGTGGCTGCTAAAAAGTCTTGAATTCCACATTAAACATTCTTGATAACTTTAAGAGCCTCCATGTGTTTGACCACTGATCCGGTAGTATCTTAGAGTATTCAGCATAAGCAATCTCAAAGTTATCAATTTTCCTAATATGAATCCTTTAGAGTGCTTTATAGCAACCTTCATCACTCCTAGAGTATTGACGAGGAGATATATGTATTGCCTTGGGCTCCGCCTGTATTGAATTCATTGTGGAAAATCAAAAGAAAAACAGCATATCTGAAAATTCAGATTTGCTGTTGGTTACCTCCTTCACAGGCAGATGGGGCGATGACAAACCTGTTGTTTGTTGTACGCTTCAGTCTAGTTCGAGGAATGATACTCTAAAGGAATTCGACTTTCAATTATCGGAAATCATCGACTTTATGTTGATGCACTGACGAGTGGCCAAACAGCCCAAAACCGGTATGCAAGTGTGTTCCAATAATTGAAAATCTATTGCGACAGTTGTATCGCCAACAGCATATGCAGGAATAACTTCAGTGAAGAATCGTTCACTGACACCTGTTGGATATAATCCAACGCCCTTCGTGGTATTAGCCAGGGAAGTAGTTGTTTTCTGAAAGGTGTCAGTCCATTAACCTGCAGTGTAGGGAGTTGAGACTGGCCTGAACGAATTGTTCCATTAGATGATTTGATTTACAGCCAGTCTTCAAGTATGCCCACTGACTATATGTGAAAAATATTTATTTTTGATAGGTAAAAATTATTAACTACAAGTTACTGATAAATAGTACATTTTCTTTGTGAAAAGTACTTTGTATTTAAGCAGTTACTTATTGAAATAAATAGAAAAACTTGCCGTTTTCACACCTGTATAGAGTTCTACATTACAATTTTTTTTCTGATTATGGAAGGTGAAAAAAAAAGTGAAAAACAGGTTTTAAAAAACTTTTTTGTACACCACCCTAAGAATATATGTTTTTTTATGTCATGTATATCACTGTTGATTAGTTAATTTTTATTTTTTACTATTTTACTTTCAATATATGCTAACTTCTTTGTACTAGAATGTTCTGTCTGAATATTAAAAATATGAAAAGAAGATCAGAACATCTTTAGAACAGAAAAAATTACTCCTCAACTCACCACTGGCTCCGAATGCTTGATTCCTTCTTTCAATTTTTCATTTTCTTTCTGAATTTCTTCTTTCTCATTTTGTAACTGCTCGTAGGTTTCAACAAGAATATCCCTATTATTTTCTACTTCATTCAATTTCAAAGAGAGACTGTTATTTTCATCTTTAAGAGCTTCTAGTTTCAGCATAACTTCTTTTCTTTCCATGTTAAACATTTCAATTTTCCTTAAGAGTTCTGTAGAATCTTCATTCAACTGCAATACACTCTCGTTGAGTTCTGGAGGATGATCACTGTTATCATCCTCTGGACCTTTGATAGATTCATATGAGTGACCCCCTATAGTTTGTTGATAGGCTGCAAGCTCAAGTTTCTCTTGTTGAGTAAGACCTTCAACAATTTCAATGCTTTCTGCTGATGAGACCTTTTCTGCACTCAACTTTTCTAGTTTGTCTATCAAGTCCATATTTTCCTAAAATTATACAAAAGTAACATGAAGAGTATAGCATTCAAATGAAATTCAGGTTAATACCCGAAGATATCAGAAAGTGAAAAGGTTACAGAAAAAATGATGATGATATTGAATGATGATATATAATTCATTGAGCGCTTCCTATCTTCAAATTTGGATAAAACAAAGTGTGTGTGAGATATCGAAATGTTTTAGTCGTTTGAAAGACCTATTGTAGTCATTATGTGTGGAATATAAAATCGTTCAAATGTCCGCCACCCCTACTCTGAGTGGAGCGCATCCGAAACGTCCAATTTTCCATAAATCAGGCGCATAAATCAGGCTGAATATGACCAATGACATGGGTTATGTAGGCTTTGAGAACCGCTGTGGTTTGTGGCTTATTCGCATACTCCTGCGACCCTACAAGAAAAAGTGTAACAGGGTCAAATCGTACAACCTCAGTGGTCAGTTCACATCACCTCCACGTGAAATGACCATGTCCTCAAATCGCAATTCAGGCCAAAATAAGTCGGTTATCATCGACCTACAGTGCTCGCCGTTGACAGTGATGGCCTGGCCAACGTCGTTGTCAAAGAAATATGGACCGATTAAAAAAAAAACGCAACACAAGCACTATAAGAAAATCCTTAAGGCGCTCTAAGATGGGTGCGTGTGGGAAACTAGCGATTCACGTTGGATTTGAATTTCCAAATGGGAAATTTCTTAAACAGTGTAGTTCGAGATGTACCACCGAGTTGAATCTCAAAACGATGAGCAGTCACAGTCTGTCAAGTATTTCTGATATGTACGGCTCTTGGTGGAATGAAATGTGTCAAATCACTTGAACACCTCCCGTGAAAGCACCTATAAAATAGAGACAAATCTCCAACCTTTCTTCGACGTTCCAGACTATCAAGGTTGCAAATGATGTTCATGTCTTCAATCAGGCGGATGGCTCTTTGGTGGATGGAATCCAACAGTTTCAGGGTATGCTTAGGGGCGACACTACGTAAATGATAACAATACTCCAAAGAAGGTCTGATCATAGCTTTATAGAGCATCAAAAGTTGCTGAGGTGTGTACTGTTTTCTAGTTCGGAACAGTGTTTCAAACTTTTGAGAAGCAGTCCTGTAATCTAAATGGAATGACGGGGACAAGTGTGCTGTTGTCAGCTAAGCAATAGTCATAGATCTTTATTTGCTCCAGTTACATATAATGTACATATATAAACTCCGAGGAGTGTGGAACATGTCAGTGGTAAATAACAACTAAATAACAAATCAAAGTTTTACATTCATAATCAATATTATCTCACGAGTAGTTTTAAGACACAAAAAATAACAATATATATAAAAATCAGGCATATGTAAATATCATTCATATAGTTAGCATACTATCATTTAAGAATTCCTGCAATATTTTTGTTAATTAGGACCATTTCGTTAATAAGCCTTTTGGACATATTTTTTCTGAATATAAAACTTTTGCTTGATCAAATTTAATTTTGTGTCCTGTCTCAGTAAAATGTTGAGTATTGTCCATTTTTTTTATTCTTTTGTTGTATTTTTATTGTTGTATTTTTATTGTTGTATTTATTTTATTTTTAATGTCATAAATTGGAAATTCTTTTCGATTGTAATTAATTTTAGCGTTTCTATTCAGAGACAAAGGCTTGGCGATTTGTGAAATAGAGTAAGTTTATTTTTGGAAAGTGTCTGACTGAAAGTCCCATTATTCCCTACCTTCCATATACTACCTCCAGTCATATGATGCAGATGAAATTATAAGGTATATTTTTAAATTTTCTATACCACCTTAAGATTTCAAAATTAGGACCTATTCAACTAACATCATACTGGCAAAAATATAGAAAATGAATTATTTGCTCCCTCCTATACCCATTAGTCAAGTTAAATTTTCAACCATAACTTATGTATGATTCTTACTATTTCTGAGATCCTCGTGCATCGACTTTTTTTGAAGGACAAAACACAAGCACTACCGGAAAAGTTCAAATATCTAATATATTTACCTGGATATAATTATCTAGCTTCGCATTAAGTTCTTGTTTCTCTTTAGTTACATCTTCAATTTTTTCCATCAGCCCATGTTTCTCATTCATCAGTTCCTCTATTACCCTTTGAAGTTCTTTATTTTCACTTTCCAACTTATCTAGTTGTTCTTCGATCTGTATGGACTGGATTTCTGTTGTTACTTGTACATTCTTTAGATGTGAGAAGTCTGCCATTTTCTCGTTGAGACTCTTCATCTCTTCTTTCAAAGATATAATCTCTGAAAAACATCATCTTAATTTTTTTGTGTTTCGACACCTATCAGTATGTTTCAATTTTAAGATTTTCATTTAACAAAATTCTGTATATTACAAAAAATAGATTGGATAATTGAAGATCCCTTAGTAATCTATTCAAAATAGATATTTCAATTCACAATAATTAACATAGAGCTGAAAATTGGTACAGGTCTTAAATACATTGCTATAAACAAAATATAAAGTCACCACTGATCCTTATGTGCTAAAAAAAATGATTAAAGGTCAAAAGTCATTAAAAAACAAGCTCTCATTTCTGTGTCCTAAAATGAAGAAAATAATTTTTGAATCACATCAAATCCATCAATTCAAAAGCTTGTCGCAAGATTGATCTGGTTTATATTTTTTTTTATTACTTTTGTTAAGATCATGTTACGTGATTATCTTGCGACAAGCTTTTATATCATACAATTTGTAAATAAAAGCTTGTTTTGAATAATGTTTCTATAATATCACTTGATTAAAAATCAAAATAAATCTGAAGACTGTATCAAGGAGAGATACATAAAATGAAATTAAATCATGTAACAATTATATGTATTTATTCAAAGTAAGCTTACAGAATCATATACAATTTCAAATGGCATATAAACAATATCAATAAAAAATAGACAAAAAAAAAGAAAAAAACAAGCACAAAACAAATTAAATCTAGCAACTGGGGCGACTTAAGAGTATCAAATGTAATTGATCATCCAACTGGGCAGAAGACAAATGTGTGATATTAAGGGATGAGAAGTTTTCAGTATAGTTTCTTTGCAATCTTGTAGCGAAAGTAGTATTTCTATAATTGGTTCGATGACTTTGCATATAGACAAACCGTCTTTAACGGGTGGTTCTGACAGCCTCTTTAAGATCAGTTTACAATCAGTTTTTCCGTTAATCAGCTGTCACCCCCATACGAACGACAACTCTCAGAAGTTGAGAAACTTATGCAAGCTAAGGACTAACGAGATCTTACCTTTTAACGTGGATTCCTAACACGGTATATCTGAACAATCTATTGTAAGCCTGGTATGGGCATCAATTCCGTGAAAATACAATCTCATTTTCAATAATTTTATTTTTTGAGAATATATATAGAGATATATTGAGAATATATTGGACTCTTGGTGTTATCCAATAAGTCGTTGATATACAATAAAGAAAGGATTGGAGACAATATGGATCCCTTAGGAACACCAGCATTGATGGTAAAAGTATTCGAGAGATATCCATCGACATCCACTAGCAGGGAACGTTCTTTCAGGAAGCTGAGGAAGCCATACCCAAAAAATGATCCGACAAGCCATAGCATCGAAGTTTGTTCAGCAAACCCTCATGCCATACACGGCCAAAGGCCTTAGAAATATCATGTTTCTCGATTGCATTATTCCAAATATGGGTGACATACGATAGAAGGTCGCCAGTTGATCTGTTTCTAAAAGCCACATTGGTGATCGCTCAAGATGTTAAAACTTTCCAAATATTTAAGGATATTGTGGTTTGCCGTTTTCTCCATGAATTTTGATATCACTGTCCTTTTTGGAAATAGGCTGAATGCGAGCAATCTTCCAACAAGAAGGAAAAACCCTTTTCTTGAAAGACATGCATTGTGGATTCTAGTGTAAAAATAGTGGGTGGTTCCTTTCCCAGAAAATCGACTGTGGAGTGGAAAGCAAAATGTTCAGCTAGTAGATTTGCTTTTTCTATGGTTGTTGTTGTAATTGAACCATCCACTTGTGCTACTGGTGGAATTGTGGATTTTGTAAAGTTTTGATCAATAGATGATGCCGCCAGCCCAAAATCCACACCAAACAGTTACTTTTTTGGGATGCATTGGGCGCCCTTGGATCTCATGTGGATTGGTATCGTCCAAACTCAACAATTTTCTTTATTCACGTATCTATTTATCCAGAAATGGTTAAGATGATTTTTTTATGAAAATTAGGACAGTTGCCAATTGTTCCTAATCCCATTCAGCGAACACACATCGTTGTCTATGGTCGTTTACCTTCAGTTCTTGGGTCAGTTGAATTTTGTACGGGTGCAGGCTCAAGTCACGACGCAAAATTCACCTTCGGTCAGTTGAATTTTGTACATGTGCAGATCTTGCGTTTCCTCGACGTACGGGTATTGGTTCAAAAAACAAACTCACTCTATTTCACAAATCGCCAAGCTTTCGTCTCTGAATGGAAACTTCTTTAGGATGCTCAAATGAAATACAATAGAAAAGAACTAAAAAAAAATGGACAAACTTACAAGTAACCTGAGTTTTACTATTGAAAATTTAATATTGATGAAAAAATTTAAAAAAATTGTCGCATTGATGTTGAATAATGCCATAATTTTCAGATAGCTTACTGTTATGATAAGAGTGAAATTATCATTAAATAAATGTCTATTCCATAAATGCTCTTTGAATGTATTTTATCCAACGTGTGACTATTTCAATTTGAGAATATTACCGTGATTTATCTATGTCTAGTAAATAATTGTAAATTATACTCAGATTTTCAATGTCTGTTTTTTTGTTCATATTATTAGGATTTTTGTTAATTAGGACCATTTCGTTAATAAGCCTTTTGGACATATTTTTTCTGAATATAAAACTTTTGCTTGATCAAATTTAATTTTGTGTCCTGTCTCAGTAAAATGTTGAGTATTGTCCATTTTTTTTATTCTTTTGTTGTATTTTTATTGTTGTATTTATTTTATTTTTAATGTCATAAATTGGAAATTCTTTTCGATTGTAATTAATTTTAGCGTTTCTATTCAGAGACAAAGGCTTGGCGATTTGTGAAATAGAGTAAGTTTATTTTTGGAAAGTGTCTGACTGAAAGTCCCATTATTCCCTACCTTCCATATACTACCTCCAGTCATATGATGCAGATGAAATTATAAGGTATATTTTTAAATTTTCTATACCACCTTAAGATTTCAAAATTAGGACCTATTCAACTAACATCATACTGGCAAAAATATAGAAAATGAATTATTTGCTCCCTCCTATACCCATTAGTCAAGTTAAATTTTCAACCATAACTTATGTATGATTCTTACTATTTCTGAGATCCTCGTGCATCGACTTTTTTTGAAGGACAAAACACAAGCACTACCGGAAAAGTTCAAATATCTAATATATTTACCTGGATATAATTATCTAGCTTGGCATTAAGTTCTTGTTTCTCTTTAGTTACATCTTCAATTTTTTCCATCAGCCCATGTTTCTCATTCATCAGTTCCTCTATTACCCTTTGAAGTTCTTTATTTTCACTTTCCAATTTATCTAGTTGTTCTTCGATCTGTATGGACTGGATTTCTGTTGTTACTTGTACATTCTTTAGATGTGAGAAGTCTGCCATTTTCTCGTTGAGACTCTTCATCTCTTCTTTCAAAGATATAATCTCTGAAAAACATCATCTTAATTTTTTTGTGTTTAGACACCTATCAGTATGTTTCAATTTTAAGATTTTCATTTAACAAAATTCTGTATATTACAAAAAATAGATTGGATAATTGAAGATCCCTTAGTAATCTATTCAAAATAGATATTTCAATTCACAATAATTAACATAGAGCTGAAAATTGGTACAGGTCTTAAATACATTGCTATAAACAAAATATAAAGTCACCACTGATCCTTATGTGCTAAAAAAAATGATTAAAGGTCAAAAGTCATTAAAAAACAAGCTCTCATTTCTGTGTCCTAAAATGAAGAAAATAATTTTTGAATCACATCAAATCCATCAATTCAAAAGCTTGTCGCAAGATTGATCTGGTTTATATTTTTTTTTATTACTTTTGTTAAGATCATGTTACGTGATTATCTTGCGACAAGCTTTTATATCATACAATTTGTAAATAAAAGCTTGTTTTGAATAATGTTTCTATAATATCACTTGATTAAAAATCAAAATAAATCTGAAGACTGTATCAAGGAGAGATACATAAAATGAAATTAAATCATGTAACAATTATATGTATTTATTCAAAGTAAGCTTACAGAATCATATACAATTTCAAATGGCATATAAACAATATCAATAAAAAATAGACAAAAAAAAAGAAAAAAACAAGCACAAAACAAATTAAATCTAGCAACTGGGGCGACTTAAGAGTATCAAATGTAATTGATCATCCAACTGGGCAGAAGACAAATGTGTGATATTAAGGGATGAGAAGTTTTCAGTATAGTTTCTTTGCAATCTTGTAGCGAAAGTAGTATTTCTATAATTGGTTCGATGACTTTGCATATAGACAAACCGTCTTTAACGGGTGGTTCTGACAGCCTCTTTAAGATCAGTTTAAAATCAGTTTTTCCGTTAATCAGCTGTCACCCCCATACGAACGACAACTCTCAGAAGTTGAGAAACTTGTGCGAGCTAAGGACTAACGAGATCTTACCTTTTAACGTGGATTCCTAACACTGTATATCTGAAAAATCTATTGTAAGCCTGGTATGGGCATCAATTCCGTGAAAATACAATCTCATTTTCCAAATTAAAAATTTTGTGAAACGCCCTTGTACTTTTTCTAACCTTTATGACTTATATAATGCAGTGACCAAACAATACTATTATGTTCTAGAACACTAAGAACTAGTGATAAATACAACGATTTTATTGCATCAGATCTAAAATATGTATTGTATGTCTTTTGATGAATCCTAGCATTTAGACTTTGTTACAAATATTGTAACTTACCTACACAGGTTAATACCTCGAAATCAGTCTGTAGATCTACTCAATTGATTTTAGCGTGGTGCTACTGCTGGGTGAATGAGAAACATTTGCAAGACTATACTCTGTGGTAAATATCTTATCCAAAATATTCATTTTCTTATATATATGCGAGAGACTGAAAAAGGTTAAGGTATCTGTGGGGCATAATGTCGCCGGATATAATTCAATATCCAGCATGGTATTAGTCGAGGAAGTAGTTGTTTTTCGGCAGGCATTTACCAAAACCTACTGTGTAGATACGTTGGATGAGGTGAATGTTTTGAGATTTCATTTTGATACATTAAATTTCCCATTGTTAATTTAGAATCAGAATCATTCATAGTATAGACCATGTCAATTACATTAGAAAAATGTATGTTTCAAATAAAAACAATCGCAATTTGACTGTACAAACAAAAATTTCAGAAGTAGTTAACTCATTCAGATCATAACGCAAATTTACTTGCGAGAATTTGCAGTACTTGATGAAGGAGTGTCTTTCTATAATAGCCTCTAGTTCTCAATTCATAATTTTTCTTTCCTCTCATATATTTGAGTAATTTTTTTGACTTCATAAGACTGGTAAATAATATGTGCACAAGAGGTCCTGCCAATTCTTTTTCAAAGTATCAGAATGCTGGTGGGAATTTCTTCTGGGCCAATTGCCATTTCATTTTTGAGTTTTTTATCATGGTAATCATCTCTGTGCCAGTGAAAGGCATCAGAATGATACAGCTTGAATTAGGCAAGTGTCGAAGCAAGTTCAATGTGAAGTCCAAAGATATCTTTGTCAACGATTGCCACATCATTTTTCATTCGTTTTTCATACAGTCAGCCTTACGTCACAATCTGCTGAATCCGCCAGTGAGTGCGATGCCACCAGACAAATGAAAAAGTTTCATGAATCAGTATCTCAACGTAAGGACAGAATAATTATTTTGAAATCAAATCCACTGGACATTGCTAGAAATGTGATCATTGTATCATAACATGTACTGACACCAGCCAAAACTGTCAAAAGTAGATAATTTCGCTATAACACCATCGCCCCTAACCATTGAGGACATTGCTGATAATGCCCATCAAAGTTATGGGTGAAATGTTCGGAGTTAATCTCTCCATTGAACCACGGCTACCCAAAGTTCGAGCATTTAAAGGGGAAAAATGTATACTCATGACCTTTCTCCTTCAATAATTTTTTAGCACACATGGGATCAGTGGGACCTTTTATTATATAGTTGATAACAGAATTGACTACATAGAAATTGTAAATGTGCGTTTTTTCATTGTTACAGTCACTTTTGCTTTCTTAGCAAAATTACTCTGTTTTTAATTCAATAGCGACAGCGCAACTAGCAAAGATGACATCCAATGAGAACACGTCCAAAGAACTTTGAGACTGACTGACGAGAACAATCCGAATTTGCTATGAAACCATCCCTCCTCCAAGAAGAAATAATGCAGATAATATAATGTACCTGTTAAAAAAATGACAATACATTAAAACAAATTAGTAGTTTTTCTTACCTGTTTCTAGCAATGATATAATTTTATCTTTTTCCTCAAGATCTTTCAAGTTCCTATCCAGTTCCTCCTGTATTGCTGTATTTTCTTCTGATTTTCTATCTTCTGAAAGTACAACTAAAATTATTATTGATGAAAAAAGTTGAAACTATCTATACCTTTAATAGAATCAGTTGAATCGACCATTTTCAACTGCATATTGCCTTTCTCTTCTTCTAGTTCTGCAATTTTCTCGTTTAGTTTAGTAATTTCATTCTGTAATTGTACGACCAGAGCATTGGCATCACTAATTTTTTTGAATGCATCAATTTTTTTATTCAATTCTTTGATTTTGCTTTTACTTTGTGCCTTTATTTTAATCATATTTTTGTTACTTTCGTCTAGCTGTTTTTTTAATTTTGCAACTTCATTATCATTACTTTCCACTGTTTCCATTGAAATTCCCGCACTTTTGAATCTATTAATGTCAGATAAGCTGTCTTCCAATTTTTTCTCCAAATCTGCAATTTTTTCAATATATTGATTATTGCTTGAGGTAGTTTGGTCTAGTTTGTGTTGCAAAGTAGCAATAAGATTCTCGTAGTTATCGTCTTCTAGTTTTTCAGAATTATTACTATGCTTTAGATATTCATTTTTTTCCTTCACTAGTTGTTCATTGTTTTCTTGCAATTCGGTAATTTGTAAGTTTTTTAATTTCAAGTCACCTAGTAATTTCATCTGTCTCTCCTTCATTTCATTCTCTAACTTAATGAAATCCTCTTGCATTTTTTTCATCTGTTCCCTTGTTTCATCTAGTGCATCCAGTGATTCTTTGCTCTTTCTACTCAAACTATCACTCATGAGTGTTATAGCTTTTGTGCGAGCTTCTAATACAGAATCCTTTTCTTTTAAATTTTCCTCCAAATCAAGTATCGAACCTTCCTGTTTTCGAGTTTTTTCCATTAAATCTGTAATTTTTTTTTCCTTGACGAGTAAAATATTGTATAGTTCCTCTTGACTAGTATTTTTATTATATTCCAAATTTTTATCATAATCTAACAAGCCTGGAGTGGAATCAATAAGTTGTTGGGAATCATCGAACTGAGCTTTTAGTATGGTAACCATTTCTTCGATGCCTTTCTCTCTCAATCCTCTTTCAGCCAATTTGGCTCTGAAATAAGCATTTTGAAAATTCAAAAATCATATACAGTGTGACTCGTTTAAAATTGAAGCATTTTTATAAATCATATGTTTTCAACCATCTAGAATGTTTTTTTTTTATTAGGTAGATATTCAAGAAATCTAGAATTTCACGAATAAGTCTTCGTTTTCATGGCCAAGTTTTATAAGTCTGGTCACACCACTCGATTCACGTAGTTTTGAAATGGTCAAAATTACAAAGGAATGCGTTCGTCAATAAAAAGGTTATATGGGAACTAAATTTGAAAAATGTCATTTAATTATTTCGCCAATTCAATTTTAGAACCACAAGATCCAACAAAAAAAAATTCAAGACAAATCCAACAAACTGATTAAAATACCGCATGAAAATAAATATACAGACAAGAAATGTGCCGAATACCTCACATGTAACAACAGAGTTCTTCCTAAAATGTATTTTTTATGAAAAATACATCTTCCTAAAATGTATTTTTTATGAAAAATACATAAGGATGGAATACCTTTGAGGCCTATCGTTAGTTTTGTTGGTTCTCCTGTCTACAGGCTTCCGAAATGGATTAGCGAAATACTGACACACGGTTTCGAAAAAGTGAATTCTTTCGAATTTTCTAATTTTATCAGAATTAAAATTATACCTGAGAATTATATTTTAATTTCTCTTGACGTGGTATCTTTTTTTTACTAACATTCCAATAAATCTATTGATTAGTATAATTAGAAAAAAATGGGAAATAATTCAAACTTTACCACTTTACCCATAGATCTTTTCATGGAAGTTTTCTTATTCTGTATAGATTCCAATTATTTTTTTTACAACAGATCTTTTTACAAACGAATTTTTGGGTTGGGAATGGGTAATTGTATGTCACCCATTTGTGCAGATTTGCTCATGGCAGAACTACAAAATATATGCATCAAAAAGTTGTCATTTTCATTGCCTTTTTTCAAAAGATATGTTGACTATATCGTTACTTCCAATTAAAAAAAAAACAAACTTAAATATTAGACACTTTTCATAGTTTTCATCCAAAACTAAAATTTACTCTAGAAATGGATGAAAACAATTCGTTAGCATTTTTGGATACTAAAATAATCAAAGATGCAAACCGAATTTTAAAGGTAGACCGGTATCATAAACCAACTTTTTCTGAGGGATTTTCAAATTATTTTTTAAAACATAATTTTCAGAGTAAAATCAACATTAGAAGGAACTTGAAATCAAGAGCAATTGCCATTTCCAATTCTGAATTCCATAACCAAAATCCCCAATTAATTGAGAATTACCTAGTAAAAAATAATTTTCCTAGAGCCCTTATTAGAAAAATAATTAAAGAAAGAAGTTTCATCTCCTAAAATACAGGGGTGAAACCCAAATATCACAAAATTCCACTCTGATAAACTTGGAATGCTACTCAGAACTGAACAAATTGAAGTGACCTTTTCAAATGAAAATACAGTTGGAAAGCATTTTTTCTCGAAACAAAAAACAAAAACACCACAAGAAATACAATCCAATATAGTGTACAAATTGAACCGTGGAAGCTGTCACAAATGATATATTGATCAAGCCGGACGGTATCTTAAAACACAAGTTTCAGAACACATGAGAGACTCTAAGGAACTGAATATAAAAAACCCCACAGATAAAGCCATTCGTTTGTTTCATGTCGTTTTGTGTTGGTGTTGTCTCGGAAATTTGGTTGTTGCAATGTTATTTATTTTTTTAAATATGTATCGAATATGTCTGATAGTTTTTAAAATAGTAATATTATCAACACGAAAAAACTACTTTTCGGTGAGTAATTTAATTGAGAGCTCATTATTTCTTGTGAATTTGAAACGATAATAATCTTATACGTTTTGTGGAAGGTATGTTTATAAAAATTCATTGTTGCAGAGCCCTGAAGAAGAATTTAATTAAATTTAAAACGTCGGCAAGAAACAATTGTTTTTGTTAAGAAAAAATTGAACCTGTTACCCTATCAACCTTTTTTCAATCAATATTAGAACTTTCACCAGAATTTTGACTACTCCAATGGATTCGGTAGGTTTTGATTTGGTGCGGTCTAGAATTTCATCAAAATCTGTTCATTAATAAGGTATAGAAAGTTTGAGAAATAGGCTGTTCAATGGAAAATTATCAAAATTCGAAATATTCACCGAAGTGTAATTGAAAAAATGTCATTCAGGAATAGCGAAAATCAATCTCTCAATCAAAATTAGAGCAAATGATAGGAACGAAGAAGATAGGAGATTGAAACACACGAATTAAACTATCCATGAAAATAATTAAACCAATTTTCACGCTATGAATTCTACTAAAAATGCGTTTCAGTACACAGTAGCTTCTTTAGTTGATATGGATAGTGTTATTAATTTTCATCAAGTAATGGGTCAGTGTATTCACAACATAATTTGAACACCGAACCTCCATTCAAGTCAATGCATTTATCATATTGTTGCGAACATTTTTCAATATGTTTCGTAATTGTTGCGGAATAATTTCTGCCCTTAGGGATATGATGAAACCAAAAAGTCACATCGAGACTAGTCTGGTTATGCCGTGAGAAAATTCGGGAACTGGCGGACAGGGCACTCAGGTATTACAGACAACAAAAAGCTAAGCGTATACTAGACACAGATCATCAACTCCATATACAGTGCGGAAGTAAATAGTCCCCCTTTCAACTTTTGAATTGCGCAAGATATCGAAGTCAGATAAAATGTGTATGAAAAGGAATAATTGTGTGTGACATCACTCTCCACAAAAAAGACCCTATCAACTTTGTTTTTATAGAAATGGGAGGCTTCACTGGAAAGTTATTTCAATTCTCCATACAACGACCTTAACTGTTTTGAATTTGGATAACCGGTTGCAGAGTTATTGGTATATGAATTGGAGACTAGGAAAAATGTCTTGTACTGAAACCAAGAGAGGATTGAAACAGCACCAAAGTGAGTTATAGGTTACACTGAGTTTGTAATGTGCAAAAGAAAAAAATTGTTTGAGAATTTGCTTCATTTCGTTTCGTTCATTTTCAAAAATAATTCGCGCCAGATCTTTAAAAGTAAAAACAGAAGCAATCTATCTTACACGAGAAACATATAGAAATTGTTGCGTCTGTAGTGAATAACCCCCTACAGTCCATAAAAGTTGCTCGTAAAAATGATTTTTCAACAACCACTGTGAAGAAATACCTCAGAAGCATGAGTTTCACACCTATAAACTGAAAGATATTACATTTTCGTAAGTTATTGTCCGAACATTCGATTACAAATCGAAACTGCATGAAAAATATTTGTTTTACTGACGAACGCACTTTTATCTTAAACGAAAATGTGCAATTTTAGTCAAACATAAACTCAAATATTTTTCGAGGTCACACTCAAAATCCTGAGAAAATAAATGTCTGGACAGTAATATTGGGAAATCATATTGTTGGTCCCATATATCTAGAGGAAAATCTGACTGGTGATTTATATTTGGAAATTCTTCAAAACCTCATTCACCGTTGGAATAGCCTGCTTGTTCACCGGATTCGACTCCTCTCGACCGCCGTGTTGGTCGCTGGTTCAAGCCTCAGGCTGAACGATCGATTTTCACTTGTTATCGTCCAACCCGTGTTAGGAATCACATGTTAAAAGGTAAGACCTCGTTAGTCCTTAGCTCGCACAAGTTTCGAGTTCTGAAGGTTCGAGTTCTGAAGGTTGTCGTTCGTAGGGGTGCGACAGCTGGTTAACGGAAAAACAGATTTTAAACAGATTTGCTCGAATGAATTTTTTAATGTATAAGGTGAATAATAACAAGGTTAAAATAAAATGCTATCGTTTTATGTCCTTACAATTAACACTTATGTATTGCAAAAGATGTTGATAATTAATTTCCCTTCCCAATGAATGTATCCGGATGTATCCGATGATTGTAACTAACGAACCTACACTTATGTGGCTAATGAGGTAATAAAGTTATCTATCTATCTATTGCAAAAGATGTTGATGATTAATTTCCCTTCCCAATGAACAATCATTTCAAAAATATGACACAAAGATTGGGATTAGGTCTCTAACCCAAATCTTTCATTTACAAGAAAAGAATCATACCTTGTGTTGTGTCACCTCTAGATGTGTGTGGCAATTTTTGTGAATGTCCAGTAGACCCAAAAGAATAAAAATCGAGGAAACTGTCAATAGGTATATTCATTTGTTTCAAATATTTTTTGCAAGATTTGCGACGGCCTAATTCGACGATTCTCATGCATGTTTTTGCAGTGTCAAAATCCGGTGAGCATGTGTAGAATTACCCTACAATATAGTTCCACGTGACAGTGGAACAGTGAGAAATATGCAATCAGAAGAACATACTCGATCTTTGGGATAGCCTTCAGTTCTTTCAGAGATGTGCTTTTAATTATATCTATGGTTGTTAAACGGCGACCTTTTAAGGTTCTCTTTATTTTTGGAAATAGGACAAAGTCACGTGGAGCAATATCTGGCATATTTGGAGGCTGGGTAATCGTTTCAATATTGTTTTTGGGCAAAAATTCACAAACAAGCAATGAAGTGTGAGCAGGTACATTATCTTGGCCTTCTTGGACACGATTATACCGTGTATGTAGCTCCGCCCCTAATCATACCCTGGAAGCTGCTTGATTCCATCCAGAAAAGTGCCATTAGAAACGGGAACATCACTTGTAACCTTTATAGTCTGGAACATCGAACAAAGGTTCGATGAGAGAATCGAGAGATTTGTCTCTCTTCTATAGATACTTTCACGGGAAGTGTTTAAGTGATTTGGCATTTTTGATTCCACCAACAGCGGTACCTATCAGAAATACGCAACGGACTGTGGCTGCTCATCATTTTGAGGTTCAACTCGGTACACCTCGAACTTCACTGTTCAAGAACTCTTTCATTTGGAGAACTGCGTTTATGTGGAACAAACTTCCTGAGAACGTTTTTCCAAATAGATTTATTCTCCAGCGATTCATATCCAATGTGAATCACTACTTTGGCACCGCTCTTAGAGCGCCTTAAGGATTTTCCTGTAAAGCTTGTGTTTTATCCTTAAAAAAAAAACTCGTAAACTCTTATGATGCACTGTTTGGAACCTTTGGTGTAGTAATGAATATTACTGGAGTTTTTTCCCCAACACCAAATCGTTATTTTTAACACCTGGACATGTGTTTCGATCACCAAGTGATTATCTTCAAGAGGAAGATTAAACTGAACTCTTGAAGACTTGGTGATCGAAACACGTGTCGAGGTGTTAAAATTAACGATTTTGTGTTGGGAAAAAACTCCAGTAATATGTGTAAACTCTTGTTTTACTCATAGCAGACTCACTATAGGCCTTTGTTAACATTTCACACGTTGCTTCATTTCATTTTTTATACAAAATTTGATGCATAGATAACAGATATATATTTAGATAGGACACTGAATACTTATTCAGAACATAATTCAATGTGCCATTCACTGATTGTGTCTGGATTCACTGTAGGTGAAGAAATTTATTTTACCGACTAAATATGTGTAGGGTTGGATTTTATTTTATAATATGATTCCAAAATAGTAGGCACTAAATTCTCAAAAATGACTGTGACGTTTTTACCTTAATCTTAAGTTTTTATAACATGAATTCAAAACCCGTTATCAGTATTGAAACAGAACTAAATCTTTATGACTAAATTGTAATAACAGATAAAAAAAATCAATATTTCCACTGAGAATTTAGTGCCTACTATTATGAAATTTTAGTATATCAACCCAATCTTGGTAAATGGCCGGCTCGTTTTTAGGAAAGTGTTGTCTTTCACTATTTATATTGGTTCAATTTTTAACACCACGGAAGCGTACATGTTTTCCATTTTATTTCACTCAATGATTACTTCAACACAAAAACTAAATTAAACACCTGAATAAGGCAGTAAATGACCAGGGAGATGAAATAAATAAACCATTAATAAACAAGCCTAAAAATTCGTCTTACTTTCCTAACAAATTTGTATACTAATATATCAATTGTATTGTACAGTGTACATAATCTAATCCCATCCTCCCTTGATGAATTCTGTATAGATAATCTCAGGTGCATAATTATTTAACAAGAGCAAGTAACTCTCATCAATTGCTTCTCCCTCTAAGTAATTTAACTAGCACAACAAAGTCCATACTTTATAAAGGGCTAAAATAATTGGATTCATTCAAACCTCATTTGAATTTTTAATACTCAAGCGAAGTAGCCATATCAAAGTGAACTTTCAAGCTCAAATTTTTCAATTGCACAATACACTACCAATAAACATCTCTGAGAAAAAAATTATTTTCTCCGTAAAAAAAGAAAATTCATGCAAAAAAGTATGAAGTAAGGTGGAACAATTTGTAAAGGTAACGTGGTGAATAAAGTCATGTGTATCCTAATATGATCACCTTTTGATCTTTGGGAAGCCATAATAGCAAAATGAAAGGAGAGCACAGCGTTTTGAATACCTTTTTATCATTTCAGGTGAGAACAAACATGTTTACGAAACTGCCTGCAAATATTCCAAAAATTTACCAGATGTCCAAAATGAAATCAATAAACTATTATTAATTAACTCTACAAAGGTGCTCATTCCTAAAGGTTTCGAAATAAGAGACAATAACACCTCTCTTTCAAAACAACCTTTTCACATGGTAACTTTGATAGTCTCCCCTCCAGAAATTGCCACTGAGAATCCACTCTTGAGTGAATAAGTTTGCTTCTGTAATGATTCAATGACAATGACTGTCAAATTGAAAGTGTAAATGACCCAATTAATTTTTTGATATATGAGAATTCTTTCAACTATGCTTCTAATAGACACTTACATAATTTAAAAACATATCAGAAAATCACTATGACCAATTTTATACCCACTTGTTTTCTTCCATCTGTTGTTTCAGCAAGTTGACTTTTTCACTTTTGTTAATATCCACAGTACTGCTATGTTTTTCCCTAGTTCCTGACTCATCTTTCTTCAATCTAGTTCTTTTGGCTTTTACCTTACTAAGAGTATTTATATATTCATCAACTTTTTCTTGGGGAACACTGCTCTGTTCTTTGCGAAGCATTTCCTTGAGTTGTGATATCATTAGTTGTTGCTGTTCATTCTGATCTTTCAATTCTGTTAATTCTCTAGAAGTTTGAGCAGCATAAGGGCGATCGCCCCCAGGGTCGGGATCAGGCTCCTTCCACATATTACCTTCGTCACCTAAAACTGAAATTGAAAACGGTTTTATGAAGACATTGCAGAATAAGGCATTAACTGATACAATTTGACAGTTTAGTTCTCTATAGAGCACAAAACTGAGTATTTACCTGATTTTGAAAATATGTATGCGGAAAATAGCAATATTTAGATAATCATGAATTCAACGAACCAATCTAAAAAAAGTTTATTATGACATATATCATAAATGTCAAAAGTCAAATCATCTCCACGTCACCACAGCACAGACATAGAACATAGAAAGATGCATAGAATATCCCTAGTGTGATTACTTCGACCTTCGACTCCTTTCCCCATGTAAAATATTTTGTCAAAAACGTTCGATCTACGTCACTTAGTCACTCCCAATAAAGAAATTATGAAAGGATTCAATGAATTTCGGCATTTTCAACCAATCAGGTCAACAATGTAAATAATCTTCAATCACCCATGGTAAACACAAAAGGGTTGACAATTTTTCACCCTAATTTCCAATGTTTGTCAAACGAAATCGATGAATTATCGTTGTTCTTAGATTATCACAAATACAAAGTCATTAAGAAATGAAAATTAAAAATTAACAGATTCCAAACCAAGTTACTTTACAACGTTTCGATTGTTAATATTTACAATCGTCTTCGGGAGATAACTGGGCTTATTCCTCCGAGATCTGAGTATTTATAAGTCATTCGACTGTTTTCACCTATCCCCTCCTCCCCACTCGCTTCTTTTATTTTTAGCGGAAGCTGATCGTTTGGCGGGAGTTGGTCGTGTTCCGCTTGATTAGAGGTTTTCATATGTTGCGTATCTCTACGCTAGATTTTCTTCTGAACCAGTGTTGTTCCTTGTGGATGATTTCAGCTTGAGTCCACTTGATGTTAAGTTGATGATTCCAAACTTGCTCTGCTTTTCCTAATTTGCTGCTTTCTCCTAACTGTGCCTGTGTCTGTGCTGCTACGGATAGTGTTTCCAGATCTGAAGCAGGTTCTGATGTTATACTTGGACCCAATTCTTCTCATCCTTTCCGACAATCCTCTAATGTAGGGAAGTACAAGATCTGGTTGTGTCGGATTCTTTTCCTCGTGGAGCTCTTGCTGTCTTCTAACTAAAGTCTGTTCCACCATCACTTTGGAGTAACCATTCCGACCTTAACGGAGATTAACGAAAAATTGAGCGACAGCGAAAAATCGCAAGAGTCATGGCTGATTTATTTGAGTACATATGGTCATGGTCATGGTATGGAGTACATGGTCAATTAAAATCCACGATGAAGTGCACACTTTGTGGAGACTCATCTGTAACCTTCGATCCTTTCTGTGATTTGTCACTCCCCATACCACAAAGAACTGTACAATTGAATTTATCACAGTGCTTGGATTTCTTCACAAGAGAGGAAACTTTGGATGGACATGAAAAACCGACGTGTTCAAGTTGCAAGGAAAGAAGAAAATGCACAAAGTCTTTATCGATCCATAAGTTTTCCCGTATTTTAGTCATTCATTTTGAAAGATTTTCTCAAACAGAAAGATTTAGAGGCAAGTTAAATGTTGTCATCGAATTTCCTGTAGATGGATTAGACACGAACAATTATGCAGCAGAAAATGAGACTCCTTGTCGTTAAAATCTACAAGCACTTTCGAATCACCGTGGATCTACCTACAGCGGACATTAAACATCATTTTGCAGACATCCTTATACTGGCACGTGGCACGAATACAATAATGATTCACACGTGTCACCAATTTCACCAATTTCGAGACCTTCCTTTGTATTACAGAGCCCGAAAGCACGGTCTAGTAGACTCTTGTTGTTAGTCGATTGATGGTGGTTGGATTCGCGGTTCAGATACTGTCCTGTGTGAGTGGGTTTTCGATATAATCTCATAGTAATAATAAGACATAGAGTTGCTATGCCTGTACCGTGCCTATATCAATACAATACATGTGTTTTGAAACGGGTATCGTATTATCCTTTTCTGTACAACTTATGGGCGAGGGGGGGTGGCGGGTAATGAGAGGTTATGGAGAGTTTGTTTACATTTGAAGTAAGTTGGACCATATGACAGTGGCGGTTGGTTTAGTTG